AAAAATAATGTATTAAAAATGAAAAATAAGCTTATTTTTTTGAAAGGTAATTTTTATATTAGTTTATTTATTTTCCTTTTATTTTAGTTTTGCTTAATAGTTTAAAGGTTTGAGATAGAGCACTTTTTAGTCGATTAATCATATTTTATAATAAAATTAAAAGCCATTGAATTTTTCTGAATTAATAAATTAAAAGATTAAATCAAATAAAAAAAACACTTAAAATATAGAAGAAAATATTGAAAAAAATGATATTTCTATATGATAATTTAATAAATTAATTATTTATTTATTTTTATATGAATAAATTTTAATGGAATATAAAATTTATGTTTATTTTTAATAAATATAAAAAAAATAGTACCTAAATGATTTTATAATAAATAATCAAATTTGAATTATATATAAAAATAAATTAAATTCATTTTCATATAAATAAAATAGTAATCTATTTTTTTTTTAAATAAAAAATTATTAATATATTTTTAAAAATATATTCCAATGGCTTTTTTAAATTAAATAAAATTAAGAAATTAATAATTACATAAATATATATAAAATTAAAAAAAAATAACATTAATACATTATTTGATTAAGATAAATTATTTTTTTATTTTTAATATTTTAATTAATTTAATGATTATTTTTAATTTCTATATTTTAATTTCATAATTTCATAATTTATATTAAATATATAGATATTTTTTTACATAGTATATAATTTATTTTAATAATATAAATTCCATTTTTTTATTATAAAAAACTATATTTTTTTTACATTTATGTTTTATTATAAATTAATTATCATTAAATGTATTATTTTTTTAATAAAATAATAGTATTATAATTATACATTATCTATTAAAATTAATAAGATTTTTAACTTATATTTATCGTAATATATATGTAATTAAATTCTTTATATATGATTTTTATTTATTTAATTAATTTTATAATGTAAAATTTAATTATTACATTTTATTTTTTTATAAATTATATAATAATCTATTAATAAAAATATTTTTTTAATAATATGACTATTATTTGAATAAAATAATTAATAAATTATTTCATTTTTAATTTAAATAATATATTTAAAAAAAAAAAAAAAATTTAAAGTAATAAAAGAAAAAAAAAAATATTTATTTTTTATTAAATAGAAAATGAGTTTCATTTTTTATGAACAATATAATTTATTTATAATTAAAATAGAAAAAAGTTAAATTTATTATTAAAATTAACTCGGATTATTATTAAAAATAAAATAAAATATAAATAAAATATATTTAAATAATTTTTTTTTTTTACACAAAAAATTTTAAAAATTAATTTATATATAGGTATAATTTTATTTAATATGAATATTTTATATTTTTTTTATAATTATCTATTTTTATATTTTTTATTTATAATCAAAATCTTAAAATTTATATTCCTTTTTTTAGCATTTTAATTGCTTTTTTAGCTTTTAGCATATAACAAAATCTATCTTAATATAATTTATTTTTATTTTCCTATTAATAGTTTTAAACATCTAAAATATTAATGGCCTTTATAATAATTTAACCTATAATATCTTTATAATAATTGCTTTTGATAATTTATTAGTCATAATAATGGCAATTCTTTATATTTTCTTAATACATAACTTCATGAAGTTTTTAATCCTTATCGGAATTTTGAATTGTATCTATGTTATCCTAAGTAATCCTTAAAAGCAGGGCTGTATAATGTGAATGTGTATAATATTCATATTAACCTTTTAAAGGCCTATATTTAATAGAATTTAGTCTCATTCTTTATATAATATTAAGTATTTATTAAATAAATACCTAGTTTAAATTAAAGCAAGATAAAATTTCTTCTTTGAAAAGCTATATAATCATATGCATAAATGATTTTTTGAGATTATGATATTTAGATTAGTTATTACATTTTTGTTTGTTTTTTTTTATAGTCTTTTGCATAATATTGCTCTTTTAATAATCTTTAAATTATTATCGTAAATAATTGATAGTTTTATATAGTTTAGTATTATTTAGATATGTCAAGAAAATTTTGTTTATTCTATCACAGAAAATATCATATTTATCGTTTAAAATAGATATTGGAGATTACATATAGTTTGAAAACATTATTAAGTTATCGGCTTTATAATCTTTCATATAATTATCTATTACTTCTATATAAGTAAGGTTTTCTTTGGTATAATTCCTAAATAATTGAGAAAAATTGGTTAATATTACACTTTCATAATAATGGTTGTAGTTTTCCCTTGAGTTATGGACATCTTTATTATTCTAGAGTTATATATCTCTATATTTACATAAAGAATTGTTTTAGTTTATAGGAAATGTATTTGATACTATAGCAATCTTCTTAAGTATTTAATTAGATGAGAAACTTCTGTAACTGCATATTTTGGAGGTTTTTGGTGATGTTTCATAATTATCTTGTTTTTCATTAAATAAATTAAGACTACTTTATGAAGAGTCAAATTCTATTTTTTATTAAGGATAGAAATTAATTTTATTTTACATGTTTTTTTAATTTTTATTAATTTTTTATTTTATTTTATTTATCATAATCTTTTGAAAATATTATTTAATAATTTATATTAGTTTTTGCCTTATAAAAATTAAAATTAAATGAATTTTGATAATGTAACTATTTAATTAAATTGTATATATATTTTATTTTTTTTATAAATTTTACCTTATTAGATATTATAAAATATGATATTTATTTTTAATTATATATATTTTATTTTTTACAATAGTGATTTTTTTTTAAAATATAAAATTATTCTATTCATATTAGAGAAATATTTTTATTTCTAAGTAAAATTTATATAATTCTTATTCTTATTGCTAATTTAATTTTATTACTGCAATTTTATAAAAATAATTGTTTGATTTATTAAAGTATTATAAATCAGTATACAAATTAAATAAATCAAATAATACTATAATAAATTTATAATTAAAACTTTATAATAGAAAAGTGTTATTTTTATTTAAAAATAATATTATATTAAATATAATTATTGAATATTTAATTTAAAAAACTTTGAATTAAAAAACCATATAATAAGTATATAAATATCATATATATTAACAATAGACTATTTTATTTGGAATAAATATAATTAATATATATAATATAAAAATTATTTTTGCATATATATTTTAATTAAAATCTAAATATTTAAATAATTAGTATTATTCTTTATTTTGTTATATTATTTTTAATAATTCTAATTATGTATTTAAAAAAAAATAGTAAAATATAATTATTTATTTTCATAAATTAATAAATATAATATTTTTTTTTATAAATATGTAATAATTTGTATTTATTTTAATTATAATATTAAAATATTTATTTATATTAATTTTATACATTTTATTTTACGAACAATAAATTAAATAATATCAATAAAGTTAAATTTAAATTAAAATATTATAAAATTATTATTAATTATATGTATTCATTATTATTTAATTTTATATAATTATATTACATATATTATTATTTATAATTATATATATTTTTTTAATTAGATATTTAATAAATATTTTTTTTTTACAATATAATATTCGTATTATTTTTTTTTCAAATTTTAATAAAAATTAAAAAAAAAATATCTTTTTAACCTTTTAAATGCAATATTAATCTTTTATTATATATCAATTTTTTTGGAATAAATAATGATAAGGTTACTGAATATTTTAATAAATATATTCAAAAATTTTAAGATTAATTAATATATTTTGTTACAATAATAAATAATAAATAATAAAAAATAAATAAGAAATAAATTTTTATATTTTTTATTTAATTATAAATATCAAATAGATAAAAAATATAAATATAATTATAAAAAATTCTTTTTTATAATATATTTAATTATTTTTTTTTAATTTAACAAGTGGTTTTATATATAAATTTTTATATATTATTGATAAACCATAAAAAAGTATAAATAATTTAATGTATAGTATATATATTTTTTTATATTAGACATATATTATTATTATTAGATATATAATTTTTAAATATTAACATACTAAAAAATTTAAAATATAAAATTAATATATAAGATTAATTAATTATATTATAAAAAAAATCTATAATATTATAATTTCTATTTTTATAACATGAAAAATAAAAATTATTATAATTTAAATATATGCTTAGATAAATTAAATATTTTTATTTTCGAAAATAGGTAAATAAAATAGATTTTTAATATATTAAACTATAATATATTAAAACATATACAAATTTTTTAAAATTTAAATATATATGCATAATTAAAGATTTATTATAAAAAATTAATAATTAATTTTATATTAATCAATAATTTTTGATATATTTTAAAAAATTAATATTAATTTTTAATTAAATATTTTTTTTTAACTTTTATTTTAAATCTTTAATTATTTTTTTTTTTTTTCCTTTTTTTTTTTTATTGAATAAAACTAAAATAAATAGATAAAATAAATTATGTATATTTTAATTTTCATTATAATTTATAATATAATTAATTCTAAATAAATAATATATTATACTAAATCATTTGATACTATTAAATAAACAAATGAATAAGAAAAAAATAAATAAAAAAATATTAAAAATTAATAAATATATTTTATATATAAATATTTGTTAATCTATTCACAATAATTTATTGTAATATAATAATTATAATCATATATATATATATATTTTATATATATATATTGCATATTATTAAAATTAAAATAATGCTATATAAAAATAATTCCCTTATCATATTTTTAATAAATATAGTATTTTATTATAAATAAAATCATTCTAAAATTTCTTTTGTTATGATGATTTAGCCTGCGAAAACAACACTTTAGAAAATTTTTTAAAAAATAAATGTTGTTTATAAAAAGGCTATGCTACATCTATTGACGAAAAAAAAAAATGTATTTATTGCAAATATATGCCATTATGCGATTAAACAGAAATCAATAATCCGTGCATTAAAGCAGGTTATATACAAGCATCAGATAATTCTTTAATTTGTTTTAATCCCTAGGACTGCCTATTATCAGAAGAAGGGTGCTCATTTCAAAAAACTGCGTGTTTTTCTTTAGGATATCTAAAATTTTCCGAAGATTCAAGTAAATGCAAAGAACCTTCGATTGAAGATTGTCTTGAGATTGATATATGTAACGAATTATGTAGAAAATATGGATTTTAAGGGGTTGGATAATGTAGAATTCCGGAAATTTTAGAATGCTAATAATTAGATTATTGCAGTGATGTTTGTATAAAATTAAGGAATTTAATAAAAAACGAAAATTCTTAAAAATGCAGTTTAAAAAATCATGATCAATGTCTTTTAGAAAATTTTTGTAGTCAATAATGTATATATTAAGGTTTTTTAATAGATTAAGAAAATAATAATAAATGTAAATATCCAAGCCCATATGATTGCTTATATTCTTATCCTTGTACAAATTTATGCAAAGAACATGGTTTTATTATATAAACAAATTTACTTTAGGATAGTGATTAATAATATTGTAATATAAATAATAATAATATATGCTTGAAATATGAAGAAAAATTGGAAATATGTTATTTACCGAGTATTTAAGAATGTTTGTTATAAATTAGTTGTGCCATTGCTTGTATATTGAAAGGTTTTATTTTATAAAATGATAAATGTATTTATCCTTCTAAAGATTAATGTATAAGTCAATAACCTTGCTCTGATGTATGTATAGAATTAGGTTTTAAAGGAAAAGATTAATGTTATATGCCTTCAGTTAAGGAATGCTTAACTTTAAATTTAAATTTGCAAATAGAATCATAAAATTATTAGTAATAAAAATGCTCATTTGCATGCTTGGAGTCTGTTGGGATGGTTTTAAATGATTATAATGAATGTGAATTACCCTAAGATTATTTATGCGAGAAAATAAGTTTATGTAATTTAGGATGTAAATATTTAGGATATACAGGGGATTAAAAATGTAAATTACCGGACCTTTAAAGTTGTTAAATTGTTGATCCTTGCTCAAATAAATGTAAATAATTAGGATATGAAGGAAATTAAATTTGTGGATTCACAAATGAAAGTTAATGTTAATAATTAAATGTTTGTTCGCCAGTTTGTGAACTAATGGGATTTAAAAATGAATAGGGAAAATGTAAAATTATATGAATTATTAATTATGTGGATGCTTTTTTGGAAAAAAAAAAGTTTTATTTTCGGTTTTTAATTGCTTTAATTTTTTGGGTTTATGAATTGTTTTTTTTTTATTTAATAAGAAAGAAATTTAATTATATATATATATATATTTATATATATAATTTTATATATATATATATATAATAAATTATTTATATTTCTCATTTATTAAAATTGTTTGTATTTATATTTTTTAAATAATCTTATATTAGTTCTTTTTCTGATGATATAAATCTTCTTGTTCTTATTGCTTGATTTTCTGTAATTTTTTTTTATTCATTTTCTTATTATTATTCTTCTTTTTATTAAATATTAATCAAATTACATATACTACTCGGTCTATTATTTTTATATTTTTCACGTAAAATACGACATTTTTAGTAATATTTTAAATTTTCAAATTAAAGACTACTCTTACTTTAACTAAAACCACCTAAATTTGCTAAAGAATTCAATAAAGTTGTATTTTTTTTAGTTTATTATTTATTATTTTATAAATGATTAATATTATTATTATTTTATTATTAATTATTATTAAGACTATATATTTTTTTTCTTTATCTGATTTTTTTTTAAATAGAAATATTTTCAGAAGATTATGTTCTAGTAAATACGGATTAAGGTTAAGGCCTTTTTTTTATTTTAGAAGGGGAAAAACATGAGTTTGTATTTTATAGATCAGATTAATCATTTTTTTATATAAAAAATACTATTTTTTATAAATCTTTAATTCCTAAATTTATATTTTTAACATTTTTAAAAAAAAGCAACGACTTTTCTTTTTTTTTTTAAATAAATTCTTAAATATTTTCTTAGTCTTTTTAATAAAATACATTTCCTAATTATTTTTCTAAAATTGTCATTTAATTTTAGCAAAAAGGCTTAAAAAATATCAAAAATTATTAAAAATTTAACTTTTCTTTTTAAATTTAATATATTTATGTATTATTTTATCTGGAAAAAGCCCCAAATTTCCTTTTTTTGTCATAAAAAAAGTCCTCTTAGCCAAAAAACATGCCTTATTAAATTAAAAAAAATCTTTTTATTTCTCCTGTTTTATTTTTTTTCTTATATTCGATTTCTCCTTGTTTTAAAATATATAAAAAATCAACACTTGAATTCTCCTCAAAAATTGCTTGGTTTTCTGAAAAGTTCTTTTCTTCGAATTAAAAAGCAAAATTAAAAAAAAGCTCCTTTTTATTCATTAAAGGAAATTTATTTATTAATATATTGTAAATAAAATTTATTTTATAGAATAAACTATCAAATATCTTTTGAAAAATACATATTTATATACTTATTAATGACCCTTTTTCCTCACAAACTATTATTCTTTATTACATTTAGCATTTTTTGCTAGTATTATTTGATGCCTAGATATTAAAATGATATCCAGGAGTATATTTTAGGCATTTTTTGTATAAACAAATGCCTTTATAAAAGTAATTTTGGGAAATATAAGTATTATCTGGATTATTATTTAATTAAATTATATATTTTTCGGTTTTTAAGTCTTTATAATAACCTAATAATTTCTAGTTTTAGTAATTTTAATCTTTGTTTTGATGCCAATAGTTTTCAGTAGAAATTTCTCGAGTTGTTTTTGGAGATATTTCAATAAAAATTCCAGATAAAACAAAGTAGATTTTTGAAATATTTTCAGTTTCACATAATATTTTTTAATCTTATTAGAAATTTTAAAAGTTTATGTTTTTAAGTAATTAATCTAAATATGGGTATAAATAATTCTAGAAAGAAAAATCAGGTAAAAGATGTTTAAATATATATAAATTAGTTAATATTTATATTAATTTTTATCTATATTCAAAATTAGAAATATAAGAATATGATTAAAATATTTATAAAGCTTCATTAAATAATAATTATTTATCCATATTTAAATATATTTAATTAATTTATTCGTTTATATTTTTATATTTTATAAATTAAATATATATTTTATATATAAACATTTTATACATTTTATTTAATGTTTTATAAATTAATTATTGTTATATATTTTATAATTTTAATGTTAAATATATTTTTATAATTATATAAATTTAAAAAGATTATTATTAATGAAATTATAATCAAAAAATATATAATTTATTTTTTTATATAAAGATTATTTATTTAAATCTTTTTTATAAATATAAAATATATAAGTAAAAAATTAAAATAAATATTAAAAATAAAAGATATAATATATATATATATATATATATATATATATATATTTATTACATATATTTTTATTTATATATATATTTTTTTAATAAAAAAATTATTATTATTATTAATATTTTTATAAAAATTTTATAATTTTTTTTATCAATTAATGTGTTATGAATTATAAATGTTTTATTTTTTTCTGCTTTTTATTATAAAAGGTTTCTTTATTTTTTTAAAATAAAAATTAATTTAATTTATTTTTAATATATATATATATTTTTAAAAATACACTATTATTTTAACTATTAGAATTTTCTGATTAATATTAAGATTATTAATCCTTTGCTTTTTATTTTTATAAAAATATAATTTAATATATTATTTAAATTTTTTTAAACCTTTTTGTTATTCTAATTATTAATATTTAATTAATTTAGCTGTTTCTTTTAGTTTTATTTAATAAATTTTGTATTCCTTTTTAAAAAAAAATTTTAAAAAAATATTGAAATAACCTTAATTTTTTTATTTTAATTTATTATTATAAAATTTACTCTTTCTTTTTCTTTTAAAATTAATTATTTTTTTTCTACTCTTGCTTATATAGAATTTTTTTCTTTTTAAAATTATTTTATTTTTTCTTAATAATTTTTTTCAATTTAAATTTTTTCCTATTCATAATTTTTTAATTTTTCTTATAAAATTTACACATCATCTTCATTAAACTGATTTAAAAAATAATAATTAAATAAACAATTTTTTTTTTTGAAAAAAAAAATAAAAAAAAAATACATTTTCAATAATTTAATTTTTAGTATCATTTGCACTTTTCTTCTTAAATTCGTTATATTTTTAATTAACTTATTTTATTTTTTCTTCTTTAAAAACATATGAATCATGTAATTATTAAATTTATTTCTCTTTTTCTAATATTTAATTATTTAATTTTTTATTATTTTCTTTAATAATTTTATGTTAGTCTTTAACTTAATTAAACTTAATTAAATAATATTTTTAAAATATAATATATATAAAGATACCATTTTTAAATATATATTATCATTATTAAATTCATTCAAAGCACGATTTTATTCTTCTTTAATATTAATTAATCCCTATTTTTCATGAATAATTTATTTAAGTTCAATTTAAAGTCTTTTAATTTCATTTTCTTTTTAAGTTATTCTATAAAAATTAATATAATTATATATAATATTAAAATAAAAAAAAAGCAATACTTATTTATATCAAAAAAATTTTCTAATTGCCGTTATTTTTATTAAATTTTGATTTTATTTTAAAAAATAATTTATTATTATTAAAAGATTTCTCTTTTTTTTTAATTTAATTATTCATCATTAATGTAAGAAGCATGTATACCATATCTGATATATTTATGTTCATTTTCTTTTTAAATAATTTAATCTAAAGATTCAGCTAATTCTTTCAATTAAATCCTTAAGATTTTATTTGATTATTTTAATTTTTATATTTCTTTTTCTTTCTTTAAGTTTTATTCAAATAATTATTTTCTTTGATTAGATATTATTTTAAAATAATATATATATATATATATATATATATATATATATATATATATATATATATATATATATATATAATACTTTTCTTAAATTTATATTTATTATTATAATTGTTTTAATTCTTTATCAATTTAATCTTAGTTTAGTTATTATTTTTGTAATATTTCTATATCATTTATTTAATTTTTAAATAAATTTGTATTTATAATATTTTAATCAATATTATTCTTATTTATTTAAAGTTATTCTTAAGGATTAGATAATAAATTATTCCTTTTTATATAAGTAATTAATATAAATAAAAATATAAATATATAATTTATTTAATTTTTATTGATATATACTTTTCTTAATCATTTATTTATTAATCTAATATTTATAATTCTTTTTCAATATCATCTATATTATCTATATCATTTGATTAATTATGAATATTTTAATTTTCTATTTAATTCACTAATTAATTTGTATTTATTATATTTTTATCAATAATATCTTAATTTTTTATTGTTAAAATTAAAAATTTTATAATTAAATATTCCTTTTAATGTTTTTAATAGTAATAAATTAATAAAATAGAAAATATATATATATTTTTATATATATATATATATATATATATATATATATATATTTATAAATATATTAAATATTTTATTTTAAATATATTTTTACTATTCTTCGTCATTTTTTATTAATTTTTATTATTATTATTTTTTATTCATTTTATCTTAATTATTATTATTTTATTGTTTTTTTTGCATTTCTTCTTATTTTATATTTTAAATATTATTATTTTATGTTATTATATTTTAATCTTCATTTTTTAAATTATTTTCTTCTTTATAATATATATTTTGCTCTATATATATATTTTATAATAATTTTTATATTATATATATATAATATTTTTTTACTTTAATGTGTATCTGGTTATTTATTTTATTAATCATTATTTGAATTATTTTATATTTACTAATCATCAAATTCATTATATTATTTTTGCATATTTTCATTTTATTTTTTATCTTATTTAGTTTATTCAACTTATTTATTATTTTCTTATTCATCATAGCTTTCATATTTAAAATCTTGAATAGCTTATTACGACATTTTTTTAATTTTTTAATTATTCAACAAAAATAATAAGTTTTTCTATTTTCAAATTTACT